GTGTGTGATATTAATTTTCACGTCTCTTGTTACATCTGATATAGCTCAATTTCACTAATAGAGAAAAGAAGAAAAATGTAGAATATTTTGATTTGACAGTGCCATCCAGTCGTAACGAAGCGTATGGATTCCAAATTCCATCATTGGCATGCATCATGGATATCCAAAAACGGCACAGATATTCAACATCGGTTATGTCAAGATTGGTTGATGGGACGATACGAGAACTTAATCCCTCACAGGACACGAGTGGTAACGGATAACGATCAGACACGTTCTCCCTACCGGCAATACAATCGTTTTCGAGTAGAACGTTTGCAATCTGATCTGTTGACAGAGACTTGTGTCTAATCTCCGATTCGACGGAATTTCTTACCGTCATTAAAAATTTCTCAATATCGCTACATTCGCTATAATTAATTAGTCTTTTATCAGCAAAAATTATTCTTTGCCAGTCCAGCCAGCATGATTAAGACTCGCAGAAATTCTTGAAATACAAGTTTAGTTTTGTGCAAAGTAATGAACATATATTATATATCTCTCTTACGCAGGTACAGACAATACTCTCGATATTCAAAATGAATTAAATTTGAGTCCAAAAACATTAAAGAGAATAAATGGTCAATGGCCGTCCATGTGTTATATGCTATATTATATTATATTATATCATACTATATTATATGTTCGCGCAGTTTTATTCTTTGCTACACAAAGGTACACACACACACAGAGAGAGAGAGAGAGAGGCCTGTATTACATACACGCATATACAACGATGTATAATAATATACTATTGCGAGTGATTGGACACTGTTGTGTACTCATATTAGACCATTTTTGTCAGCCTCTCCTACTATTTATATCGCGTTTTATTTTCTTATAAGATTATAACACTCACTCGATAAGTCGTGTTTATTTACAATATCAATATTAGTGTATTATAAGCACGTATATACACGCGCGACCAGAATTTATTACATTTTACATCTGTACATTTGAATACGGCTTACACCTTTGTGTTACTTTCGATATTTTAGCAAGTATGTACATATACACGTATAGATGCCTATTTCGTTTGAGATCCAGCTAGAAATGTCAACTGTATAACAAATTATTTACACAAGAGAATAAAAAATAATTTTAGTTGACGTTTATGGCTTTAATGAAATAAGTATATATACATCTATATAAATATTTGTAATTATACATTCTCAAGCATGTACATATATACATCTACATATGAGTGTGTGTTCATATATATACGCACAATATATATGTACATACATACGCATACATGTATAAACATGTATAAAGAAAGCTTTATAAAGAGTTTACGTTTCTATTTACCTTCCAGGCTTTGTAATGTAGAATCATCTTGAAGGTGTAAAAACGGTAATGTTCCTGGACAGTGCGTGAACCGAGCGTGCTGGAAGTTTATGCGGCATGAAAAATTAGCCGAAAAGTCATTGACCTCCACACGCGCGATCGCACACCACGCACGATCGTACATGCCTACATTTGTTTTGTGTAATATCACTGTAACATAGAATATATTTTACAGCACATTCTTAAATCTAGCGTATGATCTGTAAATTGAAATGTGATAACTGTCGTCAATGAAGTGGTACATTATTTTATGTACATAGTTGGACGTTAATGAATTTGCTCCTAATTATATCAGTCACCACATAGTTTGTTTCTTTTTAGTAAAACAAGATTAAAGAAAAGTTCGTGCGTGGTTCATATTTGGGAACAAAATAATCACGTCCCTTACACGATCGTATATACCATGATAAACGATCTACAATTAATAATAATTGCGATATTTGTCTCGTTTATTTGTCATATTTGTGTCAACTCTCGAAATACAGTCTCTTACGGTCACTATATATTATATCGTCGATGAAAAACTTAGGGGATAAGATAGCCAAAAAGGATATAAGATAAATATTTAATTATAACATAATATAATGTATATAGTTATATATTATACATACCATAATTTTCATAATACGACACTGTGGTTGTATATTTATTGAAGCATTTCCTCACAAATGAAGTAAATAAAAAGAAAACAGAGAGAAGGGAGGACAAATAAGAGAAAAAGAGGAAATAAAAGCAGAAAATGAGAGAGACAAAGAATGGATAAAATTAAATAGTGTGAATAAAATAAATGGTGAAATGCTCAGTTTAAAATAAATCGATAATTTATTTAGAGACGTTTCATGATACGATTTTCATTAGTTTTCAACTATTTTTGCTCCAAAAATAGTAACAAAATGTCACCCGTTTTCTACATTTCGAATAAATTGTCAACAAATTTAAATCAAACATATCGCCATTTATTTTTGTTTATATATTATTTTTCTATCCGGTCAACTAATATTCCAAATGAGAGAACGGAGGGGGCGCGAGAATGAAACGAAAAGTGTGGTCTTCCTGATATCTTCTGATATTATATATATTACTGTATTTTACAAAAAAAGTCGCTAATTTTTTTAAATATGTGTATGAAAAATAAAAATGTACAGACAATTTTACTACTTGAAATAATAATTTAATGTTGATATTTTGCACAAATTATTATTACGAATTATTAATAAACTAAATAGTGAAAAACTGTCGTTTTACTTCAGTCGATAACTTTCTTTCCACAGCTCCATACGCTATATGTATAAACTTGGCTTGTGCTCGATCCTCTTTTATATCTATCGTGTTAATAGAATTTGCGTCCACTGAGACTACGTATTAAATAAATGGTAAAAATTAATATTTGAAAATACACTTGATTGTGCTTTTCATTGTGTTTCAAGCTTTTTTCCTTTTTTTGCAAGAATACGCGAGAATATGATATCGAGGAGAGATATAAATGATATGTAACACAAAATGAAAAGTGACAAAAAGTCTTGCAACTTTGTTTTATTGTATTAAAAGTGATAAAATTAGACAATATATAGTTATACAATGATATATCGATATTTAATCATAATAATAGGTAACTTACGTTTCCTGTATATTACATAACAAATGAAATACTGTGTATGAATACAACAAACTGAAATACTTATTCTATTTCTTATCGTTAGGCACGTTTACTTAGTACTAATTGCCAATGGTTCTAACTGGAGTAATAAAAAAAACTGTGGTACCTGATCAACTGCATGCATGTAGAGATCGAGATCTAAACGTACGTGCGGAGAAACTCTTACTTCATGACGTGTTCTGAATTTCGAATTGAATTTTGTCACTTTAACGTTCTCTACGAAGTATATAAGTAAAGATATGCTATACACATATATGTCAGTAATATAGCTTTCAAGAGAATTATTTCCAAATGGATCAACCAAAAACAATAATGCCATTTTACATGTAAAATTTGTCATTACGCACACGTTCGTACGTTGTGTAATTTGATTCGCATTCATTTTTACTCTTTATTGTACTTGAAGGATACGATGCCTACATTCAGCTTATGATTTGCTTTGTTCACGGTTTTATAGCTCGACAACTTTGCCTGTGTGTGATTCAAGCTAAAGGTCACGGATAAAATAACTTGCAATCATATTTGTATTTATTATATCGACTCTCGCACGATTGTCAAGGAGCAGATAAAGCGACAGTTATAAATTTTCTCGTTATAAATAATATTTTGTTATCAAATTATTATTATTGCTATAATGCGGCTACTGCTACTACTACTACTACTACGTACTATTACTATTACTACTACACTGAAAAGAGTTTGATAACAACTCAAATGTTTAGTCAAATAATGCTCTAATTAAATATTTGATTAATATAATTAAACATAATTTTACCTTTACAAATATTTATTATCAAATGATATTATTAACGGTAATACTTATTAAATATTTGTAAAAATTATATTTAAATTATATTAAAAATATTTAATTAGAGCATTATTTGACTAAACATTTGATAGTTATTATCAAACTCTGTTTTCAGTGTACTACTACTACTACAACTATCATTATATGAAAAAAGAAAATTATTTTTTTGATATTTTGTTAAGTACAAAGAAAGGTAAGAAAATGTAAGGAAAAGTGTGTTACCGCGGATATTGTCAAAGGTCCGTTTTCATCTGTATCACTATTATAGCTATACTATTTAACGGTACGCATTTCATAAATATACCAAATTGATGCTTTTAATTTTACGCTTTCTTTCAAATCAATCCGAAGATCGAAATTTGCAGTATGAAAACTAATGGCTGAGTAGCTACTTTTTTAAATAAATGTAATAATATAAACCATTTTACATTTTAGGAACAAACCAAAAGTAAGTGAGAATGATTAGTATATGGTATATGTTTTATACACACGCAAACGAGTTTGAATCGATATACTGCATATATGTGAGTATGAAGAATTGAAATACATTACACATTGCAATAAAGATAGAAAAGATATATAAAAAGATATTAGGTAAATCTGATAACGATGAATTATAATGGATCAATTGATTTTTAATTGCCTCTGCTATATTCGTTAGGTTTTCAACCGTTATCAAAATAAGTTTTCTGCAAGAATTGGAAAATTTAATTGTATCAAAAACTATAACAATAGCATGTAACAGTTTAATATACATATGTATGTACATACACACACGTACGCGCGCGCACACACAAACACACACACACACACACACACACACACACAACTGCATTAAAAGCTTATTCCTGGCTGTAAAATTGTTGATCCAACCTCGACAGAAGAAGGGAATTCACGATCGCATAGCCAGGCTGTATAGTTGCATGTCGCGCCTGGTAGTAGTGCGCCGTTTATACTCGTAATAATTGCAATTTTGACAGTACATATATAATAAGCATCACCACGGTCGCGAATAACACAATCGTTCGATCACGAACTTTCTTGTAACGAAACGATGTGGTCACTTTCAAAACGTCGTATACGGTAAAGATATATGTGATTGTAAAATGGAAGAGATGACGAATCGCGAAAACGAACGACGATGGCGGTAACTGCTGATTTGGCGTGATTGGTGTGACACAAGTAGGTATATCGATGACGAGAGAATGTCGACCTCGTCTCAGAGGGTGTCATCAGGAGACTCGATGTCCTCGGCTGTCGTATTTTGGCGGCAACGGTAGACATACGCACTCGCGGAGAGGTCATCTCCAACGCGCACGCACTTATAGCTTTCATCGGAGCATTCACAACTGTACAAAGCAAATGAAAAAATCTATCAGCGAACAAACGACATGCAGTATTCAACGTCAGGTATCATCTCTCTTCCTATAAATATTTTTTAATTTTATATTATATATTTTCATACATCCCGCAGATCTGTCCATCCGTATATCTAAACACTTTCTTTTACGTTTTACATAAAAAAACATGGTTATTTTTATATAAATTAAATTCATAATTAATAATTTATAATTTTTCCAATTTATTCGTATCTTAATGTTATTATATATTGTACATATATATTATCTGTTCTTGATCTGTGTATGGGAATACTTTTGACATTACACCATAGTTAACATAATAGTAGTTTAATAACATAATCACACTCACGTGTTTCTCATGAAATATTCAATGTTACGCGTATACGGATTGTAAACCGCCCATCCACAAGGCGCATTATGACAAATTCGTTTCGATGCGTTTTCCTCATCACTATCTTCTGTAGCTCGTGGACTCCTGACGTTCGTAAAGTCTCGCAGCAGTAGCCGTTGTAACTGTTTCTGTAATTAAACATACCAAACTATTATAAAATTATCCATATATTAGAAACGTATTAACTTTATGCGACATTTTCTACTTTTCTTTTAGTGCGCATGGAGAAAGCGTTGATTTTCAATTATAAATATTTCATTAAATATACCGCTTATCTTTTATATGAATAAGCCATACAATTTCAAAAGCTGTTAGCATATCTCGTTTCTCATAGTTATAATCTCTAACGTATTGGTCGCATATATCATAATTTCGTATCTTCTTCTTTAGTGCGACAATATATTGTATTATACAGTTTAACAATTTATTCAACGTATATACAATTTATTTGACGATTCAGTTATTGTGAGCCCTTTATAGACTTGATCGACCAGATATAATATACTACCGTTATATATATATATACATGTTGCTTTTACTCAAATCGAAGCACATAAAATTATTACAAGTTTAAAATAATGAAACAGAAAAGGGCTACGAGCCAAAAATGTCGTTATAATATACAATTGTTAGTAAATTGTCATTTAGTTAAAATTATGTAGTTTAATTAGAAACAAAGAAAAATATACGACAAAAAACAACAGACATTTCGATTAGGTCATTATCAATGTTACAGAATGATCGCAAGTTGTTAACAAAGGATGTGATGTACGAAATTATAAAATTATGAAAAAATATAAAAAAAATATAGCATAGTTGACGTATTTATTTCGGTACATTAGTAAGAGTCCGTAAATCAATGTAAATCGTCTGCTTATAAATGTAGTGTGTAAAAGTGTCTAATAATTGTTTCTTATAAAAACTGTATCAATGTACGATTTATAAAATTATCCGTTGTTAGAACAATGCAATGAGAGCCAAATTCTTACACTTAAAAGTTTAGTAGAAATTAATAATATAACAGACATTTCAAGTATAAGAAAGGTTACATTGGTATTAACACAATAAGTTTCCTATTTCCTACGAAATCGGTAATTTGAGGAAAAAAGTCACATCGTAATATATAGCGCGTATACTCTATATCAAGTATTTTCTCATATATTCCAATTCAAACATTTCAAAGTCTTTTCCTATTTCGTAAATTTTTATACACTCGCAAAAATATCAAAACATAAAAAAAAACCACATCGCTTTTTTCTTTATTCATTTAGTAACATTGTTCTTAGTTGAAGAATTATATCAGTCCATGTATAATGCGTGCATGTACATATTTGTAGTTAATTACTACAAGTATTGCAATTTATATAAATGTTGACGTCGACGTGTATAATTATAATTCCAAAGGAAATTATACAATTGTAAAAGTAAAAAAATTTGAACTCTAAAGTTTGAATTAAGAGCTAGCATTTGGATATTGCGAAAGCTCTGCATTTCTGGTAAGGCGTACTGACGGCAATCAGGAATTGAAGAAGAAGAGAAGAAAGTTGCAGTGACGCATGTTGCGCCTACAGTGACGTTCAAGACAGTAAATGAGATGCAGGGCAAACGTCATTCCTTGAATGAAGAGTTGCCAATATACCACGATCTACAAACCCGCGGACTCGATAGCCTCTCGTGTCAAGCGTGATACTGCCTCGTGTGATATTATCGTCTTGTTTTAAAATCTTTCATCGTCATTTCTCTTTCGTTGTGGTCGAGTAATTAGGATGTAGGAAAAATTTTTTACAGAGATATTGTACATATACATTGTACAATATATCTACATTAGATTGTACCATACATGTACACCCACACGTAATAGTTTTCGATCACGTAAAACGCGCGCCTCCAAATTAAATGATTGACGCAGTACACACTTTACGTTTACTTGAAAGAAGAGGAACATCGATTCGCTCAATCGCGCAAATAACAAGGCAAAATATGTTAATTTGATTCGAAGTAACATACAATAAATACTATAAATTCTTTTACGTAATTAAAAATAAAAATATTAATAAACGAAAGAATTGTGCTCCATAATCCTTAATAATTAAATTGCTAGACTTATATTTCAGAATTCAGCATCTTTTCAGAAATTCGTCATACGATCTTGTGATTTACTCCTACGCTCACTCCTATAGCTATTATGAGACTTGAAACGATGGTAAAGTCACAACGAATCGCGCCTATACCATTCGATTCAATTTAGAATTTAACGAATAGCGAGTGCATGGTTCTCACATGGTGAAGGAAGATCTGGAAGGCACACATGACATTCTCGAGGCCGTAGACAGTGACTCAGGTTTGATTCATGAATGAAACTACTCAAGCCAAGAGTCAGCGTGTCTCTCCATAATATATGTTTGTGAAATGCATATACGTACGTATATGCATTTCACACACCCGCGCGCACATACTCACCCAGCATACAATGAAGAAAACAGAATGTCTACTTAGTTACTACATATATTACTACAAGGAAATGGACAATTGCGATCGAGAAAATCATTTGTGAAGTCTAAATACACAGTAGAATAAAATTCGATACGCTACTCGGAGTTAAAAGATGAAATCACATCGGTTTACATATCGTTCGGTCAATCTTGTGACGCACTGAAATCGATTCGTTTGAATTCGATTCTACGTATGAGTTTCTATATGTATTTATACTAAATATCCTAACTTACTTTCTGTCTACAATGTAATATATCAGCAAAAATTCAGAGTTGATAAGTTATTTGTAACGTCCTTATCGTTACAAAAGTTACTTCTTTCGGTAACGCGAATAGGTGACGACATTACATTTTCTTCGGAGTAGTTCATGCTACCGCGCAGCTACATTTTTGAGGTAATGGTAACGATTTTACTAGTTATTTTTATCGTTATTTAATTTTTAGCCACGTAAAAGTTTTAGTCGTAACTAAATAAACTGCACTTTTGCAAATCAGTAACAAGAACGCGTTATTCTTTAGGAAAAAAGGAACGGTAACTCGAGTTATTTGCTTTATGAGGTAACGTTGCCAAACTTGAGCAAAATATATGTACCGTGCACTTGACGGGGAGCGCTGTAAGGAAATTCTACATTTAAAAAAAAAAACAAAAAGATCCTCGCGTCGTTCCCTCTGTCTGTTTCGTGTAGAAAGGCGCGAACCTTGACTGCTAAACGACTTCCGTTTCAACGCGGCTCACTTCGGATCACTTCTTTGCCAAAAACTTATATAGTCTTCTCTTTTGTTTCTCCCTTCCCTTTTTCTTACTCTCTCATTATTCTGAATAGCAAACTGGATTCATCAGACTTTAATTTTTTTTCCTATACAGTCGCATTACATTCACAAATTCTTTAATTTTTACAATCGTATAAATCTTACCTCCGAACGGACCACCGCCGTATCGATGAGAGCTGGATAGCACAATGTAACGGCGAGGGTGACGACAACGAATATTCTCACTTTACTGGCTTTCGCGCGCGGATTCGACTGCGTTTCCATTTGTACGTATATATGGCGAGACTTTCGGAAATGATGTTGCAAACTTGCCTCCCGGAATTTATATACTCGATTTTCTATTACCGCCTGCGGCAGTAGGTCTTTGCGGTCTCGTCCTTTGTGTCGCGAATCTTCGATTCTCGCGTGTGTCGACGTTGAAATCGCAGTGTTACGCGCCTTTATATATACGTGCACCCTGACTGTGTGTGAGCGGCACGGGACAGCTGAACGGCAGCGTGATGAAGCGGCGCGAAATGAAATTTCGGACGTTTCCTCCGAGAAACTGAGAATACAATAGTAGTATAGGGGATGTAACGAAAACGTATATAGCGAGTGATTTAACAATCCTAAAAAGGTCAGATGGAAAACGAAACGTAGCGTCGCGTCGGGGATGCTCTTTTTAGTCTTTTCTCCACTGTGCGCGATGTATGCCAGTTCAGGATACACGAGCTTGTCCACGCGCGCGCGCGTTCTCTTTCAGTGACCGAGTTGTATATACGCGTCGCTTCGGAACTTTATACATAGACTGTCTTCTCGTATAGAGTGAAGATGCTTTCGAGTCACCGGGGGTTTATATAGGCTGGGCTAGCCGAGGGAGGGGAAAAAGATTTAGGCAGAGAAACAAGGAAAGAGAGGAAGAGAGAGAGAGAGAGAGAGAGTGGAGAGGGAGACCATCAATAACGAGAGAAAAGAAGAGAGGGAAACTAATATGCTTAGACGTTAATAACTGCAATAATAATAATAATAATAATAACATCTAATAATATAATAATAAAATGATGATGATGATGACGCGACGACGACGACAACAACAACAATAATGATAACAATAGCGACGAAATGCGCGTAATTACGCGATCTTTCTCGTCGCTAGCCTTACAATTAGTTGGTTTATTCCTCACAATTAGCAAGATCGATAGATCTCGTGGGTGCACGCGCGTGGAGCACGTGTCGGCCGGGGAAAACGAAGTGTTTTCTCGCTCGGCGTGTCGACACACGCTTCTCTTTGACGCTGGCCTTTTGCATTGATCGTTTCTTGATCTGTGTGATGAGAGATTTAACTATATTTAACTAATTTGCTTCATTTCACTAACTTTCGACGTTCTTTCCGATTTTCCATTCCCACACATACACGATAATCGCTCCGTTATAAACGTCTTCGCGATTATGATAATATTTGGTACATATAATAAGTGATATCTTACCACTTTGTCGAGAAAGTTCCATCACCCATTATTCTTTACAATCTTCCACGAGAACGACTCTTTTATTAAAAATGTATGCTGTATAATATATATTTCTCGTTTTGTGCGTATATATACTCTAAAAGTATTAAAAAATTATTTCACCCTCGCGCGTAAACTAATTTGACGTATTTTATGTATAGCAGGGTCATTATTGTGATGATGATATAGTTATAATTTCCTCACTTTTAGGAAATCTAGCGTAAATGATCAAGTTAGATTGCCGTTCAACATAATAAATAAGTAATATCGATTAGCTCGAGTGAGTAAGAAAACGAGGGAGAAGAGAGAGAGAGAGAGAGGGGGAGGG